CCCAGAGCATGGTCTTAGTACGCTCGAGCAACTCAGTACTCCGAAGCAGAGTATTTATGGCCGTAACATGGACGAGGGCACACACCCGTTGTAGCCCGTGAGCTTCACTGGCTAGGACCAGCCAAGGAAACGCTTATCTCGGCAAGCCTTAATACAGGCGACATAGATCCGCCTAATGGGCTACCAAGGCCACCTAGCCGTCTTTAGTCTTACCGCCCTGAACGGCATCCCAGGAGCCGTCATTGACCATCGACCTGTCAAGGCGGTTAGCAACACGTCGCCGGTTTGACTCTGAAGTTTTCGTTGTACAGAAGCTACGGGTTTGGCCGGACCCCCAATGAGGGTTTCGAGAAAATGTCGATCTTCAGGTCCAGGCCAATGCAGTGCGCAGGGTGAAGCCTCGGAAAAGGCTGAACCCACCCCCGTAACAGCCGTTTGGTTGACACGAAGCGCTCGACACGCAGCGCTCAAAGTGAGGTACTTTTCCGGCATAGCTTGATTAACGCATCTCCGTGTGGGCGACAGAAGACCGCCAGAAGAGTACTAGCGATTTGTCGCAATGTAGCTCGTCTAGGGTTTCCAAATATTCGGGAAGAGGGTCGCATACACACGACGGGTCGTAAATAACACAGTACTTTTCTCGTCTTTGCTTTTGCGAAGAAAAATTCAAGCGATCTGCCGTCGATTCGAGAAGATTGCGAAGCCTGCTGTGACTCGGTGGTTCACATGAAGACGTGCTCACGTGCAGGTCAACGCTGTAGTCCGAACACAGTATGGCTGTCAATAGGTAAGGTCGCTAGTCTAGCTTGTCGCCATAGGCAGAATGACGAGCCGTCCGCGGAACCAACGGGACACTGGTCGTGTCAATATTTATGGCGAGCCCGACAGAAACTTGTGCAGCCATAGTAAGGAACATCCCAGGTCGATACGCCGTGGGTCGAAGCTGAATATTTGGATCTTATCCTGCGATCAGAGCGAATGAGCTGCTGCGAAGACAGCTCTGGACTGCCAGAAGGTACATGACCCAGGCCTCGCGATACTGGCAACACCGATACCGACGTTCTATGACATGGTTGCGGCAATGCAGCTCCTGGAGGATCGACATCAAACCAGCGAGAAGACAAAACGGAATAAAAGGTCCTATTTCCGTCACGGGCAGCACGAACCAGAGTAAGGCTATGAGCAACCGATCACAGTAACCAAGATAGCGTACCACGAATATTGTAGTTGTGTCGAGGCGCTGCCTGATCAACTGGCACGGGTGGGGGACACCTGACCAGTGCACTCCGTTGTGATTTGTCAGGCCGGCCTCGTTTCCTGACCGAAAAGCAACAAGGCCAGCCGCCACCAGTCTCTAGCGGCATCACTGGTAAAAGGGGTGCTGATCGCACGGGTTAGGCGATCCGACATGGCTTGGGACCTGGGACTCGGCGCTGCGAGGGGACACCAGCCTGGTGAGGAACTAGATTCAATCAAGGGATGAGCTCAAACCGTTTGGGCAACATGTCTGAAGAAGTCCAGTCGAGGCGTCCAAAGAAAGTTTGGGGGTTTGATCCACCAGGCCGTGGGCGTGGGATGCGGCGGATTGAAAGCGTGGGTGGCCAGCCAGATGATTACGTGGAATAACGACGAACCAAGCTGTCGGGCCAGCCGCTCGTTGAACCAAATGAAGACAATCTAATATGGATTGAAAGTCGACATGGACGCCAGGAAAATGTGAGCTGGCTTCGGCTCATCGCACATCTGCAGTGCTTGATCTGGGCTGTCATGCTCCTCAACTACAATTGTACACACGTTTGGCGGGCTCTCGGAGGACGCTGCAGCCTGACGCCCCTTGATGCGAAGCGGGACCGAAGCTGCTTTCAGGGAGCCGAGCCTATGTTCTGACATGAGTTGAAGTTGTGCTCTCGACAAGGGGGGAAATTAGAGGTAGCTGGATTGCGTCGGGCGTAGAAGCCACGGCCACGGTTCTGCCCGTCGTGGTGGCCAAGTGCTTGATACTGTTCGGGGGATTGTTAGATTGAGGCCGGCGGCTGGTGGGATCGAAAGAGTCGAGATTCGCTCGTTGCTCGTTTACCAAAAAGCCTGCGCTACATTTTCGCAAAATAAGTGACATGTCAGTCGTCGGAGGGACCGGTGGGGGGAAACTGAGTGATGGCTGAGCCAACATTGCAGGTGACCTGCATAATAACGAACGGACGGAAAGATCCAACGCGCGTTGCTTTGGTGTTGGTAGGGGGTGCGCGGTGCCGGACACTGCATGGTGCTCCATCGAGCTGCAGCTGCTGGTCATGTTGATTGCCAGGTTGCAATGGAATTATTCGCACTGTCATCTTAACAGAGGGAGTCGGCTGGTCGTTGTTCTGGAGTTCGTGTCAGACCCATGTAATAACCACTGACCATGAATGAAGCGCGTTGTTTTGAGCAACATGTTGAAGATCCAGCCATAGCAAAGCCTGAAGACAGCGAAGGCGACAACTCAGCAATCCGAAAAGCCTTGCAGCCGCGCTAGGGGAACGATGTTCAGGAGATGGCGTGGTCTCGCGAGGGTTCTATTGATCGGCCTCGACTGACATGAGGAACCGTTCGTGCCGGCGCCACAAGCGGCGCAAAAAGCCATGAGCTCGCTCGTGGAAGGACGCTGGACGATGCAGCCCTAGGTTTCGTGATTGAAGGGCCGACGAGCAGCTTCGTCGACTCGAATTGACCTGTGGGTGATGCGGTCTACTCAAGCACGAATAATGAGAGCTGTGACTGACGACAGAGGAAAGAATTGAAGAAATTATGGAATCGGCGGATGCTAATTTGGATTGTCACGATGGATGGGAAAGTGTACGGCAATGTACATGGGCACCTACCTACCTTACCTGTATGTACCTGGGGTTCGGGCCACTCCTCAGTGCTGTGGCACCTACAACATTCGTGACCAAGGGCTTGCATGAGCGTGGAAGGAGCCGCCAGGCAGCCAGCCAGGCAGAAGGCCCCCCGCAAACAGGGGACCACCTTCCCGAAGAAGGAGACGAACCGCTTTGCCGTGGACAATTGAACCGAGACTGACGTCGAGTCAGCCCAGTGAGGTGCGAGGTCCCTGGTCTGGTCTGGTCTCCTGGCTACGCAGATTGCCGTGTCCTGCGCCGGCGCGAAAAGTCAGGGCCTTCAGTCCCTGATCTCGTCCTTGCGCTACCAAGCCTGCCCGTCTTCTCCTCCTTTGACTGCCTCGTCGACTCTGCTCCTTGCTCTGCTCCTTGGGTCGAAATCCTACCCATACGAACTGTCCACGGCTCCTCAAGCATTCGGATTTTTTTTCTCCCAAGTCGTACGCCCGTCCCACACTGCGCTTCCCCTACTTTACACTCCCCTCCCACAAGAGCGTGGATTGCCTCTCGCTTCGACCACCACCGCAACCATGCCCCCAGCGAAAACTGCCAAGGGCGGCCATGATGACGGCAAAGGAGACTCTGCAGGTGCCAAGGAGAAGAACGGACACGGCAGCCACCTCACGAACGGCAAGATGCGACGAGTAGCGAGTGCTACAGGTGGTTCCCAGCTCCGCGAGGTCACCAACGCCAGCGCCTCCAAAACAGCTGCTGCAAAAGAGGAGGCAACCCCGCCGAGTGTACGCAACGCAAACAACTCTCCGCCTCTCTGTGCTTTCAGGCCTGCTAACACTCGCTCTTTCGTCAGATCTCTTGGAAATCCTTCGACCGCGACATGCTGCATGCCTACCGTCGCGAGCACCGACTCGACACACCTACGTCCTTCTCCAGTTCCTACCGACACATGATCCTGTCACAACCGGGCTGCATCGGCCTCCACTCTCCGACAATGGCCCGCAGAAGGCAAGACAGGCGGCAAAGCAAAGAGCAGCTGGCATTGGCGGTGCGCAAGCATTTCAACGGTGCGGGCATCCAGGAGAACGACGCCATTGTGGACTTCATCCACAGAGTACACAGCCAAAGCTTGACCCGGGCAGACAAGCAGCGAAGGCCACCCCCAGCATTGGATGTCGAAAAGTGAAGGCATTGCACACGTGTTTGAAAGAGCATCTGAATGATACCCCTCAGGTTATTGGCAGAAAGGGAGTGTGGAAGGCATTGCGGACAAAGGGCTTGTCTTGTGCCCTCTTTGCCCCTTCATGATGCCGTCGGCGTTTTGGTTTCGAAGTCCATCTCGGCACGGCACAGTGCACCGCAGACATGGCAGGTCGACATGAATTGCAGCGATCAAGTTTGTCTACGAATCTTCTTTGATATGACGGGCGTTTGGGGATATTTCCAGAGTTTTTTTTTTATCTTTTCTCTATACTATCATCTCGCAATTGAAGACATCTAAATCATCTCTCCCGTCGACTTTCTGGCTCGCATGGCTTGGATTGATTTCTCGGCCGCTTCAGCTAGAATTGGCCGGTGACCTCAGGCTCGACCTCCTGACCCTGCATTTAGCGGGCATAGCGCGTCATAGGTACGACCATTCCGCGCCTCGCGTGTGGGCCTTGGGCAGGTACCTACCTCCCCCACTAACCCAAGGTGAGAATATAGGTACCGGGCATGCCACAGCCGCCTGAGAACCACTCCAACGCCGTGGGATACCGCTGACGCGAACCTGCCCCTCCAGCCCGCCAATTGCCGCTCGTCACTCTGGCCTTAGGTATCCACCTTCGGCTCAAGGCCGGCAAAGAAAAAGTTGCGATGTCGTATGGCCGCACCTTCGCAACTGTGCACAGGCGGGTGCACCCAGTGAGTCGTCAGGAGCGTATGGGACCTCAACTCGGCTCAACTTTCGAACTCGACAGAATTTCCTCGACTCTTCTGTCAACGCGGCCACGACACGCCTCGCACCATCCCACCCACGGCATCCTCTGTCAACCGCTACACACTCTTTTCTAGATTTGCGCATCTGTCGCCGTGCATTTTTCTTCAATGCTATTCTGACTAGCAGGCGTTCGACATGAACACAAGTAGTCTTTTAACCAAGGCCGCAGCGGCCCCGAGCCGTCTGCTTCCCGTCCAAGCTTGTCGACGACCCAAGTTGGGAGAAGCTCTCTGTAAACATGCGCAGATTCACACCGCAGCTTTTGCAGCTTCTTCCAGGCCGTCTGTTCGATTTCTGTCACCTGCGAATAGCTCGGCCCCATCCTCGAAACGAGTATGTACCGCCGCCTTCCCTGCCTCAACCTGAAGAAAAAGTGTCGTCCGCTGACTTGCACGTCCCAGGCTTTCCATGCGACGCCAACCAACCTCGCAACAAAAGACCCGTACAAAGCACTAGGTGTTGGCAAATCAGCTTCGGCTTCCGAGATCAAGAAGGCCTACTACGGCCTCGCAAAGAAGTATCATCCCGACACCAACAAGGACGCCTCGGCCAAGGAAACATTCGGTGAGATCCAGTCCGCCTACGAGATTCTCTCCGATCCTGCGAAGAAGCAACAATACGACCAGTTCGGCGCCGCCGGCTTCGATCCCAGTGGTGGAGGTGGACCTGGTGGCTTTGGCGGAGGCGACCCCTTTGGCGGCGGTAATCCCTTCCACGGCTTTGGAGGTCAAGCCGGCGGCGGGTTCGGCGGAGGCTTCAACTTTGACGACATCTTTTCGGCTTTTACCGGCGGTCAGGGCGGACCCTTTGGTGGTGGTCGCGGACGCGGTGGACGCAACCCGTTCCGCGAGGAGGTACTAGTCGGCGACAACATTGAGGTGCACGCCAGTATCTCCTTCATGGAGGCCGCCAAGGGTGTCGCCAAGACTCTCCACATCACGCCTCTGTCCACCTGCGGCACCTGCTCTGGCAGCGGTCTCAAGGCTGGCACGAAGCGCACTGAGTGCAAGACATGTCACGGCACCGGCACCCGCGTGCACACAATGAACGGCGGCTTCCAGATGGCCTCGACCTGCGGCTCCTGCGGCGGTACGGGCTCTACGGTGCCCCGCGGCGGCGAGTGCAAACCCTGCTCTGGCAACGGCGTTGTGCGCGAGCGCAAGACCATCACTGTCGATATTCCCGCTGGTATTGAAGACGGCATGCGCCTCCGCGTCGACGGTAGTGGCGATGCGCCCGTGACCGGCAAGGCCGCGGACCCCAACGTGCGCGCGCAGAAGGGCGACCTATATGTCTTTGTGCGCGTCGCATCAGACCCCAAGTTCCGCCGCGCTGGCTCCGACATTCTCTACACGGCCAATCTGCCCATCACGACGGCCATGCTCGGCGGCGAAGTCACGATACCGACATTGACAGGCCAGGTCAACGTCAAGGTGGCCACGGGCACAAGCACGGGCGATCGCCTGACGCTGTCAGGCATGGGCATGAAGAAGCTCAGCGGTCGTGGCGGATCGGGCGATCTCAAGGTTGAGTTCCGTGTCAGCATGCCCAAGTATCTCAGCGCCAACCAGCGCACGTTGATCGAAATGCTGGCCAACGAGATGGGCGACAAGACGGCCAAGCGTATCATGAATGTCTCGCCGACTGGGTAAGTCGCAATGCTCATCGGCACGCATACGAAGGCAATCACTGACAAGACACAGATCGACCGTTGACCCTGACGCCTCCGACTCGCACAAGAATGAGGGCTTCCTCAAGTCCATGTGGCACACTCTCACGAACCACCCGGCACACAAAAAGTCGGAAACCGATGCCAGCGGCAGCTCGACTGACAAGCCGGCCGACAAGCCGGTCGAGAAGCCGGCCGAGAAGAAGGACGACCCCCCGAAGAAGCCAGACTCGCCCTGAGGCGCTTGCCCAAATTTAGAACAAGACAATGTACCATATTGCCGGTTGACCTTCAGCTCAACGACCGAGCTCTTTCCCCCCAAAATGAGAAACCTAATCCAACACATAGAAAGGCGGGATCAACGCACTACGGTGCCATACCACCGACAGGGTTCGTCGTTCCGCGCGGTTCGAGACCCCGGGAACAAGAAACAGGAATACACACAAACTCCCACTATCGACGCCCAACAAAGAAAGCTGCGCCTGGACGAGAGGGCCGCGAGCAATTGTATACCAGGGTTTTGATCTTACCTTCTTGATCTTTGTACCATAGAGATATAGACGGGGACGGCGCCGACAGTCTGGGAGCTGGCGGGGCTGCTTTCGTGGAGGCCACTCACACCTCATTGTAAAATTGTTAAATCTGTGTGACGATCCGCAGAGTGCTACGCAGAGTGATGCGATGATGGCAACACTGAGGTACAACGGGCGATGTTGTAGTAGTACTTCGACCCGTTGTTGCTGTTCTTCGATGTGAATCGAAGAGAATGCAAGACCATTGCTACGTCTACGATCTTGGATGCACGGTCCACGTGCTGGAATCGACGTCAATTATGGCTGCTGGCTTTGACTCCCTCACTCGCACAAATAGGGGAGAGCTCGACCGTTACGTTGCGTTTATCCCCTTCGCCGCCCATTGATACTCCATGTGTATATGTATCGTCTAGATGCCAAACGCCCCCATGACGCCCGACACATGCAGAGTCCTCATAATTTCCACACCTGATCTTTTACCCCCAATCCACGCCCCAACCACTTCTTCTACCCCTATTTCCACGCATTCAGCCCCGCCCATGGGTCGTTGCCCTGTCCGGGCTGTGCGCTCGATGGATGTCCGCTCTGTGGGTAGGCGCTGTTCGGGTATGCACTCGACGGGTTGTTTTGCTGTTGCTGCTGCTGCTGCTGCTGCTGTCCGTAAAATGTCTGTTGGGGTCCCAGCGGAGGAGGGCCCGGAGGAGGCGGCGGCGGCACAAAGCCAGGCGGCATCTGGCCCTGGGAAAGGCTGTGCGAGTGGCTATGCTGCTGTGGTTGCTGGCCGCTTGACCAGCCGCCGTACGATTGCTGACTTTGCCCGAAGGACGTCTGAGTTGGCGGTGGTGACGCGGGTCCCCGGAGCACTGTGGGGCCGAAGGTCGACTGGTGCGGGGCGGAGACGTGGGCCCCGGTGTGCGGCCGTATTGGCTTGGGTTGTAGGCAGGCTGGCCGTATGTGTTCGCAGACTGCGGTGTGAAGGATTGCGTATTGGGGGGTGCGCGAAGCTGGGATACTGCTGCTGTTGCATGCTCGTCTGCGTAGGGGGAGGCGACTGAGGGACCTGGTACTGGCCTTGAAAATTGGCCTGTGGGTATCGTGGTACCGAGTTGGAAGAAGAGTTCGGCTGGGTGAAGTTCAATGGGCTAGGTGTTGGCCTGTTGGAAGGTGGCTTTTGCCCAGAGCTATTGGGGTCCATCGACATGCGCTCCATCAACCCTCTAAGGCGCTCGCGCTCAGTCTCGGCATGCGAGTCTTTGCGAGTCGACTTGTCTTGTTCGATCTGGTTGAGAAGTTGTGCACCCTCGGATCGGCGGTTGTTGACAAACGTCTCAACGTTCTTTTCCAAGCTTTGAACCGTCTCTTTCATCTCGGCGTACCAGCGCTTCGCACCCTGGAGGCCGGCCGAGAGGTCGAGGAATTCCTGGTATGCACGCTTGTACCTGTTGATAGCTGATGCTCTTTGCCTTTGGATTACCTCGTACTTGCTCTGTTCAGATCGAACTCGCTTGTCTTGGAGTAGATTATTGAAAGACGAGTTGAGTTCCTTCATGAAGGCAGATTGTTTTTGGTTTGCCTGAAGCAGTCGGTTCTGCAGAGGGCGGAACTTTTCGAGCTCCGACTGGAAGAGCTGTTGCTCATAGTTGGCAATGTTCTTCTTGTTGAGGATCAGAATTTCAGAAATGTCGTCGTTGTGGACCTGATGTCATGTTAGCTCTGTGGCAGTCGATACACTTTTCGTGACAAACCTGTTCCTTGAGATCCTTCAGGGTTTGGTTTCGTTCCCTCTTGACGAGATTCAGTTTCTTCATGACCTCTTCCACCAGTTTGATCTGTTCAACAACGGAGGGACCTCCTTCGTCAAAATCGGCGTCCAGGAGGTTCGGCTCGTTGCCCATGGGACTGACGGCGCTGCTAGACTTGGCACGCGCCTTGTTGACAGCCCGCTGAAATAGTGCATCCACCTCACCGTTCCGCGATGCTTGACGCATTTCTTCAAAATCAAC